TTTTTTTTTTATTAAAAAGTTATTTATTGTTTAAGTGTATAGAAATATAAACATGCGAGGCCCTAAATATTATGAAAGGACTCAAAAACCACGGGAATCGGTCGAGTGTCGGACTTGCGTGACGGCACTGCATTGTGCCATAAAATATTACATGTATGAAACATCTATTGTAAAATTTAACTTCAGTTGCTAAAAAAATTGAGTTTTTTATAAGTTTGCGACTGATAAATATTAACCTTGATAAGAATAAAACACATCATATTATCTTATGTATGTACACTTCAAGCGTACATATGTTTTAAAGTAAACACACGTATCAATTATATTTACTTTAATATAATTACAAAGAAGTCAATTTTTTTAATGTTTTGTGAAATTATATTTCTATAAATATTTTTAATATGTTAAATATGTTTTTTATTTTTTGAAACGCAATGTAATAATAATAGGTAACATAAAAATTAATCTTATCAGCTATTATAAAAGCGTTAACTTATTTTCACTTCGGTTTAAAATATTAAGTTGAATCTTAATCAATCAAAGAATTCTTTTGTCTGCATCTAATCTAATATAATAGACATTGCATTAAATTGTACTGTGCACACTAAACACACAACGTTTGTTGTGTGTTAACATAAGTTTTTATGTACTAACTTTTACAACAATTTTTTATAAATTCACTAAAAACAACTTCCTTTAATAAAATTTGCGTTGTCATTTTTATCTGTTTGATCAAATTTTCAATATTATTTTTGTATGTTGATATTTTTTATCATCAATTTTTAGTAACCGAAAAAACGATTATTTTTATTTTTTAAAAACAAAAAAAACCGGATGTGCAAAAATTTTATTATTCTACCAATTACACACATCAAGATTTTAATAAATATACAAAATTACCTGTCAATCCTATTGAATAACCCAAACGGTCTTTTTATAACGGACGGAAGTAATTATATCTTGATTTTTATCATTTATTATAAATAATTCATCATTGACGACTAGCTCAAATAACAATTTGTGATTATTTTCGAAGTTAAAAGTGATTATAACAATTATAATATTATTTAAATGTTAAACATGTGTGACTTTTAACACTTAAAAATTGCTAATGTAAAATTTTAATGGCCATTTAATTTTAGTGAAAGCTTAGAGTTTTTCTGAATTATCCGCAAAAATATGTCGTGCTCAAAATAAATGAAAAACTTTTATTCATAAAAAAATGTCAACAAATAACATGTAATATCAGTAGTGTTCTTATAGTATTGTAAAAATTCAAGTTATCTGATACAGCGAGTCTATCATACCTAAAATTGTGTTAAAGTTTTGAATTATAGATGTCTTTAAATACACCAGAAAATTTTTAGGTGCCATTTTTTTGGAATCACTGAAAAAAGTAATAATTTAATACTCGACGAGTTTTTAAGTTTCAGATAATCTATGTTGAATAACAGTTAACTATGATCATAATAAACTCAATGTTTTTCTATCGCTGACGGACTACCATAAAAAATTATTTTTTGTACTTCTATACTGTTAACATTTTAGTTAAAACAACACTGGGTAACTTGGTATTTACAATGAATTTCGGACATTGAATTTTGGGACATTGTTCAATTTTCAAAGACCCAGGTGGCAATAGTATTCAATGCTAGGTAGTCGACCGTGCCCACGTATTGTGTGCATGTATACTTATTCTACGCACAAGAAATCTTAAATCCTCACGACATATTATAATTGTCTTCAGTATATTTACTTGGAAGACAGAAATAACTACATTCGATTTGTATCATTTCAAAAAATGTTTTATGTTAAATAAACAAGATCATACTATGGCATTGACGACATTACTGTATACTATCAATGGCCTAAATACAACCGCGTGCGCACACTATTCAATTGAATTCCAACGAGATTAATTTATTTTTAAAATGATGATTTATTTTTATGAGTGATAGTGCACGCTTTCTATTCTATGACTTAACCCTTTGGCCGTTGATATCCCTATAAGTTATATTGTTGTACTATCGTTATAATAAATATTTATTTTACTGTATATTACACCTAAAGTATAATGACATTAGCCCTCAAATATCATTGTTATCCAAGTTATATTAATAATTTAGTTTTTTTAGAAATAAAGTCCTATTGGAGAGAAATTGTATATTAATTATGAAATGTATAATAAACAAATAATTAATAGTAAATATTAATGTTTGAATAAGCCCTTAAACACTTTAATATTGTTAAACATAACAAAAAATATTTGATTTTCATACCGGCAGTTTTTATTATAAAGGCAACTTTTTATTGGCTATATTGTTATATGAATTATTTAAAATAATTTCTTATTAAATTTTATGATACACTCCAAAATAAAAAATTAATACATATTATAATTCGCTACAAAAACCTAACTGTGAAAAAACCTTCTACACCCTTTCAACCAAAGTATTGATATCATAGATACTTTGGCTACTCGATAATATTAGCATATCAAAGCAGATTTCATCATTTTTTTTTTTTTAATTTTCTAAGGAAAAATTAAATAATTCCTTATATTATTGTATAAACAATTACTGCAGTAATTTTACTTAATATTTCAATAATTTAATATCATAAGTGTTCAATGTCATCAGTATAGTATTTTTTATTTTATTTTAAAAATAGTTATCTGTTTTGGTTTCAATAATTATAGTTGACACGCTACAGTGATAGAAAAAAAATATATGTATATAATGTTTACATAATTGTATATTTATAAATAAATAAAAAGAAGGTTGTTTACAATACTTCGAATTGAGAAAAAATATCTTTTTTTAGCTTTGGAACTTAAGCACCACCAAGTTCAAAACAATATTCGCACTTATGAGTGATATCTATATTTTGGTCAAGTTTGCTATAATAATATAGATCCTTTTTCGTATTGCTTAACCCCTGTCTAGTTTTTTTATGAAACATAAAATAAATTTTACTACAATTTTCAATGAATCTCGTGTTTTTTTTTTTTACAAGTCAGAAACTTAGCAATTTTTTTTAACCTAGAGTAAAATGCGTTATAGAGTGCTACATATTTGGAATGTTTATTGAACATAACTAAAAAACCGGTATATTTATAGCTAGAACTACAATACAATTATTGTTTGAATTATTGGGGTTGGTTAGTGTACAATCTAAAGGTATAGTTCCATACACCCTATTATAATAAGGGTCGAAAACGTAACGAGTCTTGTATCTTTTAATAGCTATTATGTTTCAAGACTTCCCAAAATAGTGTTAAAAAGGTATATTATAAGTAGCATATTATCAATAAAAAAGTATTATTTTTAATAACTTATAAAACGTATAAATAAAATAGTTTAAATAAGAATTGTAATTGAGTCATAATTTACTAGTTAAACTTCTAAAAATATGTAATTTATTGTAAAATTATTAAAAATGAGTAGGCATGCAACTTATACTTTCTGTTATTCCTAGGAAATAACAGTTCACACTCTTCGTGAAAAAAATAATTATATGTTTAAGATAGGAATTAGTAAACAAAAATTTATATTTGTATAAAAAAAACATACCAATCTAACCCCATTTTAGAAAAATCCTAGGGATACCTGTGATACTTTGCTTAATTAAAATTATTCTAATAAATAATACAAAAGTATTTTTTGATGAGTAAAAGTGTACTAATGTAACTAATATGTCTACTTGTATATTTTACATATCTAGTCATAATTTTTTTCTATGCTACCTTTTTTATTATAAAAGTAATACTAGTAAACTTAAATTATTAGATACAAAATTATGTTGAAAATATCATTGACTGAACTCTGTGGCGTTATTGATTTTTTTTATAATTTAAAAAGATTGTTATGTATTACATTAAATATATATATATATATATATACTTAGCTAAACTGTTTTTAACAAAATGTCAAAATTATTCCTAGGCTTATAAATCTGTATTAATAATTTTAACGGTTCAATAATCTTTTTAAATATGTTTTCTCCGTTGAGTTTTAAAATGTTACTAACCAAGAAAAAATAGACTAATGATTTAATCAAGGAAAACTTCTAGTTCAAAATAATTGTTATTTTTAATTCGTTAACTTTAATATCATTAAACATGTATATCTATGCAGTACACAGTTGTTGGCGTAGGTCCATTTAATATAAGCAAATTATAATTATTTAATAATTGAGTAGTACTACTTGTTTGTTAAAACATTTAAGTAGAATTAATTACTAGTCCTTGGAAAAAGAATCACGAATTTGTTAAAATACTTACGAAATTGCCACAAATAAATGGGTCCCATTTTCTCAGTAGTTTTACTTGCTCTAATTTAGGTGTTGAGAAAAAAATTTTTGAGTGAAATATTAGTATTATTAATAATTATTAATTAAGAGTACTTAATAAACTAAGTACTCTATTAAAAATACATGATGATATTCCTACTAATTTTTAAAGCAGCAAAGTTATGCTAATCTTGGGTATTATTATTTTATATAAATACTATTACTTAACTAAACGGAAGATTTTTGCCTCTGAGCTGTTTTATAACAAGCTACTGAATCAGGCCATACACTTACATAAATAAAACATAGCATATTATTAAATATTTAAATATTTAAATTTCATTATATTAACTACATTCAGTAACACAGCTAATAATTATGAAGCTATATTAACTCAATGTTTTTTTGACCAAGTTTTTTTTTTTTTGTGGCCTTTATTTTAGTAAATTTTTTGTTTTCGATTTATTAGCTTTTTTTTTAATAATAAAATATTTGAAATTATAAATTATTTTTCTCTTGTACAATGACATAGTTGGGATTCCTTGACAAGGAGGGGGCAAAGACAAAAAATCTCCAAATAACCCATAATTAAAAAAAAAATTTTTTGCTCAATACTTTATTTTAGAAATGATTATTGCAGTTAATGCGATAAGGAAATGGCTTTTGTGTTCCTGACGTAACAACTTTTCAGCTTGTAGGGAGGTGACTTATATTTTATAAACTATCATTGCCATAATTTTTAAAAATTCATTTTATTCTTGGTAATAAAGAAAAATATCCCAAAAAACTAAAGCTATCATAAAACAGAGTATGTTGATATTTTTGGTTTTCACTTTATATTGAAATAACTTTTTATAACTGGATGGTTTATTGCAAAATATTTATTGATTACACTTCAAGTATTTGCTTTGCTGATTACATTCTTTTTTTAAATAAAATAATATTAATAATAATAATATATTAATATATAATAATAATTCAATCATTATCTAAGGTTTTGTAGGCCTTTAAAAATCATATAAAATTTTTTTCTTTTTAATTGTTTACAATGTTCTAATAAACTTTCAATTTTTTTAATTTTCATCAAATGTAAACTAATATACATACTTTAAGATGTAAAAAATAAACTATTCGAAGTCTTAATTTCTAGAAGTTATAGTCATTACAGTAAAAAATTATATAATTTTTGGCAAAATAAGCAAGTTTTGTTATATTTGTATAGTAACAAAATATTTAAATTATTCTAAATTACTTAAAATTAAAATTTGTTTAATTTAATATATTATTAATCAAAGAAAAATGTTCCTGTGACTTTTCCTCGGTGATTAGTGAACCTCTAAAGTAAAATACCATGTAATTTTTGATAGATATTTAAAAATTTTTTTTATATTTTCGAATACGTGTTTGTGATCGTCATTTTATCATTATGAGATATTAATCAGTACTAATCTATAAAATCCCCCAAAGCCAATTCACTGGATCCCTCTCTACTGTATGTGCTTTTTTTACATTAAATACATTATTTTATGACTTAAAGGTTTTTTGAAGACGAAGAAGCAAAAATGACCGAATGCAGCAGTTGTTCTAGATCATTTTCCGGATCGGAAATAGACTTTAGATCAAGAGTAAGAAACCATTGGTCTAGTAAACTTCAGTTTATATTGGCCTGTTTAGGGTGTACAGTTGGTTTAGGAAATATGTGGCGATTTCCTTACAATTGTTATAAAAGTGGAGGAGGTAAGACAAAATTTTCATATGTAGAAAGCAACTTTTTTTATAACATACTGTAGCTTTTGTTTGTAAATGTAGGAAGGAACCAATTAAATTTGATCAGGGAAATAGTTATTTTTATATGGGGGACTCACAATAATGATATTATTTGTTTTAAACTTGCATATAAATAAATTATTGAAAATGTTAAAACTAGTTTTTAATGTCGCTGTATTGAATGATTTAATGGGTTATAATAGACATGAAGTCTCTAACAGTTTAATTTAATTATTTTTGTTCTCAATTGTTAAATAAAAAATTCGCTCGTGTCTTTTTAATTGGGTTATTGTTGTAAAATGTTTAATGAGCTAATATAAATGATTTTGTTTTTTACTCTTAGTAAACTTTTTTTATTTTTTCTTTCGTTAGTATTAATGAATTAATCAATACACAAACCAAGTCGGTAGATCTCTATATGTATTGTTCAATTTTATTGGTTTATCTTTTGTACAAAAATTAATTTTTTTAGGTATATTTTTAGTACCATACTTCTTTATAATGATTTTTTGTGGAGTTCCTCTTTTATATTTGGAACTAGCGATCGGCCAATATACAAAAAGAGGTCCGATTGGTGCCATATCAAAATTGTGTCCAATTTTTAAAGGTAAAAATCTAAATATTATAGAAATATTAATTTTCTATCAGTTTATTTTTTAATTTTTAAAACCACAAAAAATTGTACAGTTAAAAGTTTTTGTAACTCATATTTATTATGTAATATTTAAATTAATTAAATAATATTGTTATATTGTATGGTAAAAAAACTAATATTTTTATACATACCAAAATTCTATTTTTTCCCCATTTAGTTTTAAGTAATTAAAATAAAATTATTTTCGCTGTAAAATAATTAAAATTTCATCACATTTTTCATATAGATTTATTTATTACTAATTTTTTTCGATGTATTATTCAATATTTTTTCTAATAAACGGTCTTAATGTAAATTGAAAATTATTTAGCTTTTGATCTTAATTTTAATATAATTTTATATTTTCTAATTGATTTAATATTTTATTTAGATTTTTTTTTTGATAGTTTTAATAATATTTGTATTGCATATAAATTGTTACTTAATTTTTGAAGATTTTTCTGCATTAAAATTTATATGTTATCTTACTAAATTTTCATAGGGACTGGTTTATCTAGTGTCGTCACATCTTTCTTCATGTCTACTTACTACAATGTGATAATTGCTTATACTTTATATTATTTTTTTTCCGCATTTCGAGAACAACCACCATGGACGCATTGTAACAATCGATGGAATACACTAAATTGTTGGATGAGTACAATCAACGGAAACAGAACGCTTAACAGCCAAACTCCATCAGAAGAGTTTTTCCAGTATGACTATGCAAGTTTTCATAAATTATAAAAACATTGTCATTCTTAATAAGATTATTTAGTATTTTTTACACTGAGACATAGCTAGGACGACCCTATATAAATTAATTATAATGGATTTTTTTATATGCATGTATTAACAAAGTTCTTATTAAGTTAAAAAATATGAATAAGTGGCAATTCTAAGATTTCTTAAAGTTAATATAGCTTATGTATCTAATATTAATGCAGCTAATGTATGTCAATATACCTTAGACTGTAAATTTCTATTAAAAATATTCAACCTTATTATTTAAACTTTCTCATATTTTGTTCATATTTTTAAATTAAAATATTTCTACTAAAAAGAAACGTATTGATGAACTCCTTTAATTTTATTTAGAAATTGTGATTTTCAAATATCATACAATTTATAATTATAAGTGTAATATTAACATAATAACCTTGACATAGTTAATTTAGAGATAAAAAGAGTTTATAAATATGAATACTTATGCTAACAATCAATGCGTTGGCGTAGATTAACTAACGGTATAAATGAATAAAATAACGAAACTAATGATATTTTAAATTTTTTTAGTAATTAAAAATGATTTGTAGTTAGCATTTTTTTTTTTTTTGAGTGAGTAAGGCTTTTATATTAAAAAAAGCAAATGACATAATAGTCTCATTACTCAAGATTTAAATTATATTCTTGACCACCTAAGTACATTTTTAATTATAATATTAAAGGCATTTTATACTTATTGAAATTTTTTCTCTTAAGTTTTTAAACTTGTAAGCTATTTGATATGCTTTGATTAATAAAAGTGAGACTATTGGGAGTTTTTTTGATTCGTGGAAATTAATAAAATAGTAATTTTTATATTATTGTAATTATTAATTCAAAATTAATAATGTCATTTTTGAATAGCCTCAAAGTGTTACAAGTCACGAAAGATTTACAGACTGTAGGCCACTTACGATGGGAATTGGTAGCTTGCATGTTTACTATTTGGACCATAGTGTACTTTACTCTATGGAAAAGTATTAAATCAACTGGCCGTGTGCTTTATGTGACTGCAACTCTTCCATTTATACTACTGTTTGTACTGCTTATACGATCTCTTTATTTGGATGGATCAGAAATAGGTCTTGACTATTTCTTATACAATCTTCAATGGGAAAGACTTTTAGATTCCAAAGTAAGATTTTATACAATAAACTTTATATGACTGACATTATAAATAATTACCAAGTAACATCATTAAGAAATAAGCTTTTAAATAATAATATAAACAAAGTATTAAGGTGTTCTTTCTTAATTACAAAGAAGGAATACTTAAAAGAAACGCATCGTATTTATCATACTATTCTTACATTAACGATTATTAGTAGGATACATTTAAAAATATATATGTTAGAATTTATATTCTTAAATAAATAAACCCCTAATTTTCTATTACAATTCATCGAGTGCCAAAAATTTGAAAACGTTAATACTCGGTGAAATTAACTCAAAATTTGAATATTACTGTATTTTATCTTTGATGCGAAGCTGAGAAGGTATTATTTTACTATGATGTGTTTATTTATTTATTTATTTTTGTGTCTGTGAACGCTTATAATACGCTCAATTAAGTAAATCTTTTTAACAACTTTGTTTTGATTAGTTATTTTAAATCATTAAAATTAATTCAGTTCATATTTCAATTGTAGAATCTTTTTAAACACCAAAACTTAGTAGGAAATTATTACTATTATTTCTATTTAAGTTATCTATTACAATAAAAATGCAAGAAAATATTGAGCTTTTTTGATAAATTTACTAAAATGGTTATTATAAAATTTCCTGGCTGCATATTAATCTTAACGATACAATTTTTTTTAATTCTCATAAAATTTCCTATTTAATGATGTCAATTTCAAACTTGCAAATTGAACTAAAAGTTATGGTAATTAGTTATTTTTTTTATTATAAACATTTACAAAAATCAACTTTAAACGATTAAAAAAATAGGTTAAATATGTCATTTTCCTTATTTTTAACATATTAATAATCAAAATCAGTATTATTTTATTATTTTTTGTTCTTAATTATTTTTTTATATGTAAATACTTATTTTTTAATAATATTATTAATATTAAAACTTAGAAATGATAGAAAAAGTCTAATTGCACATTTGAAATAATCGTAAAAAGTTGATTTAGAAAAGTATATTTTTATTTCTGATAAAAGTTCCTTGTAGTTAGTGTATAAAACTTATAACTTTGTTATAAATAACAAACATTTTTTATTGAAAAGTATTTCATGAAGCCCTTTAAATTTTTATACGCGTTAAAAGAAAAGAAAAACTAGTGATTTTAACCATTGTCAGATATCATCTATACTTGTCCCAACTATGCCGCGACCACACTGTGCTACCATTTTTTTTTAATAAAAATTAACTTCTTTGGTATGCATCTGAATTTATTACCAAACATTTTTTTGACAATAAATAACTATTATTTAATATTTAAAACATTTTATATCTTGTTGAAACAATTTTATAAACTTAATAGTCACTAAATGATTTATAAATGTATTTTATTTTTGGTAAAACAAAAAATAGAAAATATAAGCACAATCTGGGTTCTAGAAGGAGCTTAGCCCATCTAATTCTATTGTTGCCCCCAAAATGATGAAAATTACATGTAAATGTATATGAAAATATTTTTAAGTTAGATCACCCAAATATTTTGTTCAAACAGCACTGATGACTATGGCTAGATTAATTTTTTTTAAGTTTTGATTTTATGTCAAATTGAATATATTAACTTTTTAATTTTCTTGTTAATGCATAATTATTATTTTTTAATTAAGCATAAATTTTCATTATTTCTATTATTTAACTTTGGCCGTAAGTTTACTTTTCGCTAAAATATTTTGTATTACAAGATGCAATCACTATGCACAGTATTTTTAAATATTGTGTGTGTTATTTTCTTTAATATTGGCTGTCGAAAGTTCTTACAGTCATAAAATTGCATGTTAAGTAATGACGTCCAAAAAAACATTGTAATACAAAAATGTTTGGATTTACGAAGAAAACAGATTTACTTTATTATTTTTCAATGCAACTGAAGGCCGGAGCGAATTTTAAATAAAAATTAAAAACACAAATTGGTACAAATGACTTGCTAGCATTATGTTTCAACCAATACTATTGTGCAATATTACTAATTATATTTTTATTACTACAATATGTTTGTTAACAACCATAGATAAAAGGCACAGTTATCGATGATTTTATTTTCAATGGAACGTTTTTAATTTTTGATTTATTTCTAAAATTAGTGTCACTTGAAACTAAGCATATATTTAGAAATTTTTTTCAAATTTTTGTAATAAATAATATGTTTGATAACATTTTTTTTCTTTAAAAACTTTCTAAAAATAACATTTTTGGTCAAAAATTTGATGATCACATGAATTTTCCACTTTTTTAGGAGTTCTAAACAGGAACACAAATGCGTAAGATTAAATCCAATCATATAATATTATAAAAATATATGGGTGCTCAAAATAATAATTAGTTTTGATAATACGAAGATTCGTTTAACGGCTAATTTATAATGCAATCATTTGTTATTACGAATAACGTAACCACCTTACAAAAAATGAATTACTTTACTTCATATTATTATTTAGAAATATGACTAAAGTTAAAAATGTTCCTGTTTTTATGTTTTAGATATGGGTTAACGCAGTAGGCCAAAATTTAAATTCTATGGGCATCGCTTATGGACTCGTTGTTTCGTTTGCTTCCTACAATCGTTATGACAATAACATATTGGTTGACACATTCACCATATCGTTTATTAATGGCTTGGCAAGTTTTGCAGTGGGACTTTTTACTTTTGCAACTTTGGGCCATGTGGCAAAAGAATATGGCGAATCTGTAGAGAACGTTATATCAAATGGTCAGTAAAAGTAATAGCTCCTATAGAAATAAATAGTTATACTCATTAGTTTTATTTTAATCAATTTTCAACTTATCAATTTTGTTTGTTGAAATTATCTCATTCTTAGACAGATACTCTACGTTTATTTTTATAATCTATCAAATCAAATTATACTGGAAAAAATGAGTTGGGTTGGGTTGGGTTTTTGTGTACTACGTTTTTGAATTGTCTAAATAATTTTAATTAGACACTAAACATAGATGAACATTTAAAGGAAGGGCCTTGAAGATAATAACCTCTAGCAATTTCAATAACCCCCTGAACTGTAGANAGGAAGGGCCTTGAAGGGAATAACCTCAAGAAATTTCAATAACCCCCCGAACTGTAGATATTTTTGTATTGCTTTTATATGTGAGACTCCAATTGTATAAGTTTACTATATATTTCATGCTTTCCGAAAATTTTTATCAAATGACCGCTGATGACACAAGGTATAAGAATATTATTCGAACAATTTTATAAACAAATTATAAAGATATGTATTTCTTAATTATTAAAATACTTAAATATATTGCAGGACCAGGTATTGTCTACATTCTTTTTCCAGAAGTACTTTCAAACATGCCATTTTCCACTATTTGGACGATGCTTTTATTTTTTGCAATGTTGTGTTTATGTCTCAATAGTGAGGTAATTTAATTAAACTATATCAATATATGTAAAACCGATACATAAATAGTTTTCCTTCTGTTCGCATTAATATAACTCCTACGCAACATAGTGGCATAGTTACGAAGGAATTTATGTATTATACTCATCTTGACCTAAGTAATTTTTGTGGTGTAAATAAAACTTTATTCTATGGGAAGTATGATGAAAATTGGGATAGAGAGATGGAAAAGTTGTATATTTATCTCCTTCATGGTGAAAATAAAATGAAATTTAGGAACAATATATGCAACTAACAGTACAATAGACATTTTATAGTTGAGTACATTAATATATGAAGGACGCAGTTTTACATACATGTTAAACTTAATCTATCTATCTATGCTTTTTTAGACGTTTTAAATACTATTAAATTTGATTTATATTATGGTTTACATAAATCTAAAGAGTTGGCAAATTTTTTATTAATTTGTTTCTGTTAAGTTTGTTTACTATAAAATATTTTATAGTTTGCAATTGTTGAAGTAGTAGTAACGTCAATACAAGATGGGTTCCCACGAGGAATTAAAAAATATTTAAGCTGTCACGAAGTTTTAGTGTTGGTTGTTTGTCTTGCATCATTTTTACTTGGACTTCCATTTGTCACTCAGGTAAATATATTTTAATTATAATTTATTTATACATAAATAAATAAATAATGATATCTAAGATTTTATTTTATGATATATTGATTATTATTTTATTTTATCCATAGGGTGGTATATATTTATTCGAAATAATTGATTATTACATCTCTACTTGGTCAATGATTTACGTTGCATTTTTCGAAGTGATTGCTGTCTCCTGGATGTATGGCTCAAATAGATTGTCAAATGACATATTGAGAATATCAGGTTCAAAGCCTTTAATTTTTTTTACCTTCAGTTGGTATATTACTACTCCGCTTATTTTAATGGTATGTGAAAAATGATTGAAATTGAATTTAATAAATCATTTTATTTTACAACTGTTGCAAGGTTGAAAAATATTTTTAAAAAATAAAATAAAATACCTTGTACATTTTCATTATAACAATTTTTTCAGTTAGTGTGGATATTTAGTATAATAGACTATGAGCCACCAACATATTTCAATGGTACACAAAATTTTCCAATATGGGCTCATCTAGTTGGATGGTCCATAGTTCTGATCTCATTAGCATGTATTCCTGTTATGTCAGTTTATACGTTTCTACATTCCGAAGGACATACATTTTATCAAGTAAATGTTTTGTAAATTTATTTTTATTACAAAATCAAACTTTAATTTAATTTTTAGAAATTGAAAGAATCAATTAAACCTCGATCAAATTATTTTGGAGAGTTACCAGCATTATCTAAGGATAATTTAAAAGAAATGACTACTTTAATAGAATACAAAGTGCCAGAAATTCCAATTCCAATTTATACAACAAATGGAAATCAATGAATTAAATATATAATTTGTGATTAATTAAATTTTTTTGTAACTATTATTGTAGTTTAATTAATAAGTAACATATATATATATATATATATATATATATATGCTTTATTTTACTATCTCTTGAATCATGTAAAATTGGGTACCTTAAAAAATTTATTAAATTAGAGACTTAATAAGAATAAACCAATTTTTAATTACAAATATTTAGTATTTAAAAGCAAATATTATTTACAATTTAGTATAAGCTATAAAATGATAAGACAAAAATAAATTATTTGCTTACAATTTATATTAATTATCCTTTTATTACAGCTATAGGTCTTAATTTAACAGTCTTTTTACTGATCCCTGCTTCATGGCAAGTATCAACTACATCTGTAACATTTTTATAAGATTCTGGAGCTTCTTCCATGACTAATTTTGGCGAAGCAACTCTTATAGAGATACCTTGTTGTTCTAGCTTTTCTAAAACTTGAGTGTAATCCAGATTTCTACGAGATTTTGCTCTAGATAAAGCTCGTCCCTACAAAAAATTTATAACACATTAAAAAGAAAAGTTGAAAAATGAACATTATATATTTTTTTTACCGCTCCATGGCAGGTAGATCCAAATGTTTCATTCATACCCTGTTCTGTTCCAGTTAGAACATATGAACATGTACCCATAGTACCTCCAATTAAAACAGGTTGCCCAGTCAATTGATAATCTACTGGAATAAGAGGATGATATGGTGGAAAAGCTCTAGTTGACCCCTAAAGTAATTTATTATTAAAAGATTACAAAAATTTAATTAAAAAAAATTCAATATTAAAAATTATCTTGTTACTTTTCTGTGCACCAATAAATGTTTAGGTTTTCCACCAACAAAATGTTGTTCCATTTTCGCAATATTGTGAGACACATCATAAATTACATGCATATCTAAATCATCTGGTGTTAAATTGAACTGTTTGGCAAACGCCTTGAAAATATGTTAAAATAAAAGAAAAACTATATAATTTTATTTAGAAAAATAAGATATAATAACAAAATAAATTCAGTTATTATAAAACTATACACACCTGACGTGCTAAAAATGTCATAGAACTTCGATTAACCCAAGCAAAATTTGCCGCAGCTGACATGGCTTTTAAATAGTTTTGACCTTCTGTAGAATTAATACGAGCACAAGCTAACTGCCGATCATTTGTCTCAATATTATCTCGTTTCATTGCTTTTTCCATTTCTAGTAAAGCATCTTAATGTAAAAATAAATTAAATTAATAAAAATTAATTTAAGTTGTAGTTTAATTCTTATTGTAATGGTTACATCTTTTTATTTAGTTAAATTTTATGTTATTTTAAATTTAACATTTGAAGGGTTAAGGGGAAAATGGTGATGGTAATAAAATCCATTTGATGAAAATTGTTTTCATTTTTCTAATAGTTAAGTGTCTATATTTGTTATATAATTAAGAATATATGAATTTATAGCTAATTTTGTTTTTCTGGAAAATTTACAGAAATGGATTATTACAGTTTTTTCCCTTTACCTAACATTTTTATAATATTTTCTTCAAAAACTGTTTTGTCAAACTAACCAGTAGCTACTTGATGTCCAAATCCTCGACTTCCAGAATGTATCATAATACAAACTTGACCTTTATTTTCAATTCCCATTTTCTTTGCTGCCCATTTGTCATAAACTTCATCAACGACTTGAATTTCTGCATAATGATTTCCAGCACCCAGTGTTCCTAACTTAAGTATTGAAAATATGACTATATTGTACAAGATAATTTGATGCTTACATAATTTAAGATGAAAAAATAAACAAAAATATTAAAATTCAGTAAAGTATATTTTGATTAAATTAATATTATTTTAATTTAAATTAAAAAATTAAAAAAAATAAATAAATTTATAATGTTTAAGACATAAAGAGCCATATTTAATATGGCCCAGAAAAGAAACAATTGGTCATCTTACAGCCCTTACCAAGGATGTCTGATATACATTGATATAAAAAAAAAACAGAATATTTTTCTTAAATTAAATTTAGAAATAATAAATTTTAAATTTACTTGAGGCAAACCTCGTTTTCTTGCCCTTGTGCTAACTTTTGAAGAATCAGCATTTAACATCCTACCATTTTCTTCACAATGTTCCTTGTCTTCAGCCCAGACATAACCTAAAATAAAATATGTATAAAATGATAATATAATAATTGACATAGTTATTAATAGAATATTAGTTTTCATGTATTCTTAGATTACCTTCTCTTAATGACCAGTCCATTCCCATTTCTAAGGCTTCTTCAAGATCATTTGCATTCATTGGAATAATTCCTTTAGAGCCAACACCTACAGGAATGTGATCAAACATACTTTGAGCTAGTTGTTCCTGTCAAATCAACACATAAATTATAGTATTAAAGTAGTTTGAAAAATTAATTTACAATATACAAAGTAAAATTTTAAAACAAAATGCTATTTCAATATATAAATATAAATAAAATTATAACTAAAATGATGAAATGCTTATGTATAAAATAAGGAAATAAATCTAAAATATCAAGGAACTCATTATAAATAACCTAAGAAAATTTATCCAATTAGGAAGACATTCATACACCTTTGCAATAAACAATGAGCTAATTAAAAACTATAATTATTGAAAAAAAATTAAGAAAACAAGAGTTTTTTATAACTACAAGTAAAACTAGTACATTAGCATAAAAATCATTCAACATGAATAATATTTTTATAAACTAGATTTAACGAATATACTAATAATAATATAAATTATACATAATCTAAGAATAAACTATAATAATAGCAAATATTTTGTTTATAACCCTTAAAAATCGATTGCACCCATACGGGCGCACAACAAAAGTTAATTGTAAGACAATTGTAAATAATTAGTAATTTTAACTTTTCGTTATATAAAACTTTATAAAATTGTTTCTTGATTTTTAAGGGTTCATCTTTTCAAAATTAAACTGTCATATCCATAAAAATACTTCACTTTATAAGATAAATAATTAAAGATGAAACTATTAAAAATATAAAATACTAATATACAACAAATAGGTCAATTACTTTTATTGGTTGTACATCTTTTTCAAATAAATTTGTACGGAGCAATCTAACACCACAGTTTATATCAAAACCAACACCCCCAGGAGATACTATTGATGTGGGATCATCTATATCAAATGCAGCCATATTACCTATAGAAAAATTTTTTTTTTATTATTAAAATTAGGTGATAACTTTTAAGATCAAGATAACATATTTGTATAATTAGACAGAATTTAACTAAAAAGGTTAAATTATACATGGATAATAACTTAATTTGATAACTAATGGCCATATTAAAACAATGTGTATAGATTGATTTTTTAAAGCTTCTTGTAAAATTAACATATAATCTGAACATGTTCAAAATTGATAATTTATATTTAATTCATCCAATTTAAAATTAATACATAACACAAACTTATATTTTATTTCATTTCTTTAATAGGATACTCTATAATTAGTCTATACTGCAAGCTACAAGAAATAATGTAAACCGATGTCTATTGGGTTCTATTTTATCATTTGGCTGCTCAGTTGCGTTCTCATGTGATCTGCAGTATATAGAATATATTAATGAAATTTTGATGCATAAATTTTCTAACCAATAGCAAACCCATAACCAGAATGAACATCAGGTAAACCAATAGATTTATGAACTATTCCAGGTAGAGCAGCTACATTAGCAATTTGTTTTACACCAGGTAAAAATCCACCTATCATTCCTGGCCGACAAGCATTTTGAAGTTCTTCAAGCATAAGTTTTTCCAACATTTTGTTAACATAAAACACACCTTCAACCTAAATTATCATAATCAAATGAATAATATTAGTAAAACTCAATATATATAAATATAGAAATTAGTTTTATGTTCCTACCTGATTACATATAATTTTAACTAAGATTTACACAAAATAGGTTAGGAAAAAAATATATAAAATAATGGTTCAAAACAAACAACTTTTTAAAATATGTTATCATAAGACTTTCATTGAAATCAGCTTAACCAAAAATTTCATGAATGTTTTTTCCGATCCAAATGTTATTAAACATATTAAATCATGGCATTTATAAATGATTACTTTAAAAATTTACGTATTTATTTTAAAACTTGTCTTAAAAGTAACAATACCAGAATTTTAAAATAATCATGTAATCATTTCAATACCTTCATGTTAGGTTGAAATCCTTTTTTAATTTCCCACATGTAAGGAGTCTTCTTTTCCAAATAACCCAATTCTTCATTGTATGGTCTAACAACCATTTTTACAGAATTTATTCAAATTATTAAATTTAATTAATAGAATAAATTTCAAGTAAAATGTAAAAAGTAACAATATTATAAAAATGAGAATATAGAAGATAAAAGCAATCTGCATGTAAAAGAAATTACTATAGATAACAAATGTTATCATCGAAAAACACGAGTGTAAAGCTATCATTTTTGATCCACCATCTTCTTATCACTAAAATATTTTGATTACCCATTAATTATATAGTATAACGCTTTATCTTACAACTAGATGTAGTCACATATTAACAAAAAGCATACATTTAACCAATTCAGTAGTCGTATACACAACAAAGAACTGACGTAAGATGGGAGCATATATACACTTACTATCATTACACACCGCCGTACCAACTCGGCTTATTCAAGGCGATGACCACATTTCTCTACTTAGTAATTAATACTATTTTGTGTGAAATTTAATCAGCTTTTAAATGATATAATCAAATTGCCTGGACTCCTCAGGTACAGATTATAAGGACAGAGTACAAAGTACAGATTAAACGATTATAGCAATAATGATTTTTATTGTACATTATGTGATGGCACCCACTGGCGTACGCAAGGGGGGGTTTTGGGGATTATGATTTCTAATAATTGTGTTACCTTAATTTTTATTATTCTCCAAATACTATTAAAATTCAAAAATCGCTATTTATTTCGGGGGAGGTGTTATAAATAAGATAATTTTACAACCCCTTCGAAAATAGAAATTTTCAAAAACTTTTGATTATTACATAAAATATTTATTGACTACTAAGGTGATTCATAAAAAACTTATAACATTTTAATTTTGTAACAATTAAAAATGATATAGTAAAAAATGCTAGTTTTTCATCTTTAATAGCAATTAATACATAATCAATTACACTGACTAGAATTTTATTTTATAATACGTTTATTATTATTATATGAGTTAGTATTAACTTAAATTCTATGTGTAAATTACTATATACAATATAAATTATTTTGATAAACGCAATGAAATACTATAAACTAAAAACAATAAAGATCTTGACTAAACTCATTAAGTCGCCTAAATATTCTAAGGAGAGGGTGGTTTTGACCATATGAGGTAGGATGAAGGGGAAGTGTGAAAGGGAGTGGTTTCTTGTGTTGAAACATGTTGCAATATAAATCATAAATTCAAAAAAAAAATGATTTTTAGTTTCACCTGAATATAATGATGGATTTTTACAATTATAATCAAATTTTATAATAAGCTCAATTGTGTAAATCTTTTTAACAACTTTTTTTTTATTGGTTCTTTTAGTTAAAGTAAATCATCAAAATTAATTTTGTTCTGAATATTTTCATTGTAGAATCTTTTTAAACACCAAAAGTTTATAATACATTTTAATTATTAAGGTAACGTAGATAATTAGATAATTATATGTATATATATATATATATAATTAGATTTAATTATTAATTATTGACAGAAAAAATTTGTTTCATTTCAATAAAAAAACATATAATTAATAATTATATATTATTTATTCCATCTATAGTTATTAAATAATATTATTTAAACGCATTTAGAGAATATAAGTTTTCAATAATAAAAACATTTTTAATAATTTCTAATATTGACACTAGGGTATCATTAGTTTGATTTTCATAAATTAAACTGACGTTAATGTTTTTCTTATGAGGCTCAAGTAAAGTTTGTAAAATTTTAGTGTGTTCTTTGTGAACATTTTTATTTCCGTTGAAACCAAAACAACAACAATACTCGAATCGATTAGTAATCAAAGGTGGTTGTATTAAGGCTAGAAAATAATTTTTCATAGTGTCCATTTCTGCAGCCATGACTTTATTACTAGAATTCAATAGATCATCTATATATGATTCTACATTATAAATAGGAAAATTACTTGATTCTGAAACATTATTTACAATATTATTTAAAATGCATTTAATCGTACTTATAGCAATTTTCTTTTCAACTCCAACATCCAATGCTTTTTTACCGTAAATTATTGATAGGTATGTATATTTAAAAACTCGAGTTTTTAATGCGAACTTAAAGCCTTCATAAGCATGATTTATTACATCTTGCTTATTGTTAGAACCAACAGTATTTTTTATCAATTTATTAAGCGTTGCGTAGTTATTGTGTTGATCAATTACTTTTTCTTTTTTAATATAAATCCAGAATTCACTATTTATAATTGAATTTAAATCATTTACGTCAATAGCGACACAAAATTGAATAAATGTAAAAGCAGTTGAAAGATAACTTAAATTCATACTAAATTTATTACCATAAAAACCAAAGGAATACTTTAATAAGAAAAAACAGCATTAAATAAGCATTAAAAAAACTACTCTGTTCAGTATCACGTTTGCAATGTGTTTAATGTATTAACAGTTGACATTCTATTTGAACAATAACATTTTATTTTATAAAATATGTCCTGAATATTTTTGGTTGTCGAATAAGACAATTCAATAGACAAATAGGATCGTATTTTAAGAGGCTTACAAACTTTAAGCCTCCTTCCTCTAAAATTCTTTTGACGACTTTTCTCTTATACTTAAATTGATAAAAAATCAAAATTATATTCTATTACACATATTCTTAAAAATATCTTAGTACATTTATTAATTGAAGTTTTGTAAACAAATATTTTTAAGTCTAAGGATTAAATCACGATAAACTAAAAGAGACATTAAAATTAGTTAGATTTATGATGAATTATTTATTAAATATTATCATTGGAAATGTGTAATATAAACAAATTTTTATAGAACTTATGAATTACTAATTTCATTATATTTTATTATAACAAAATACAGTGGTGGTTCGTGGGAGCAGGTGGTGGAGGTTAAAACATAATTCCGCTAGTCAAGGGTATAAAAAAATTTCAAATTAGATATAATAAAATAAAACACAATGCACACACTATTATTTTAAATGTCGCAGTAGAAAATAGAAATGAAAGTAATAATAATAGCGATTACACTATTATAGCAAACGATAACGACGAGCGTACACGTATTAATTCTAAAAATAAATTACCCAATATAGTACTACACTAATATTTGACTGTATGGACGACGCTGCCGGTCGTCGGAAACCCGTTCATATGATCGCAGCTGAACCGTATCCGCACGCACACGATTGGTCGCTTGCTCATAATATACGTTGCAGAATATTGCTGGGACGACGCTGCCGGTCGTCCATACACACTGTGTACATGCATAACCTCATATACTGAGGGAAACAACTTTAATGTTCGCATGCGACAAATGTATTGGAACTATTTTACTATTTACAAATTTGCATTTTTAATAAAAATGTAGAATTAAGAATATACAATTCATTTTCTTCTTTTTATTAATTTTAGTAGGGGGTGCGACCGACCCGTCGGATGAGCCACGAGCTGCCCCTGACAAAATAAAATATCTACAGTTAGTTTATTTCATATTATTTCGTAGAAATTATTTTAAAAAATTGTTCTATTATAAAATCATTTTATATTAATTAAAAGTTTCATAATTGAACAAACATAACTAAATATATTTAGCATTGTAATAACGATAAACAATTTATTTTTTAAAGAAGTTTTAAATTTTATAATCATCTTCCAAAAGTTTGAATACACTTTTAAAAATTTGAGTAAGATTTTCCTTTGACTTTTTTTAGTTCTAAAAAATGATATTTAATGTTTTTTCAAGAAAATTAGGTAGTTTTTAAATTATGTTTTTTATGATTTCATTAACAATTTTATCCATTCCGAAATTATATTTTACCAATGGATCTTTTAATGAAAAGTTATTTGTTGTTAGCAGGGTTTGGAACATTTGTCATAAAATGCATGCATTGGCGTTCGCAATTCGAATGCGTTGTAATAAAACCACATCCTATAAAATAGATATAAATAGCAAATTAATAAATTCACAATTTATTATTAATTTGACAAATTATATGAAGATGATTTTTAGAATTAGTAATGATAGATAGTATAAGGAAGTTATACTATCTATCTAAGCTGCGGATTTTGTGCCTACACGATAAAATAAAAAATAGGGCTAGAAATTACATAATTTATACATTTTATTTGTACGTCCCAAGTTTGTGCAACTTTGTTACATGATTATATAAAAGCGAAGAAATAATTTTCATTTTGTAGGGAACAGACTCTCCTAATTCCAAAAGCTATAAAACAACAGTAACAGTATATTAAATTTTTAAGACAATTAATATAATTTGTACTAGTTGAAGGTTTGTTCGTAATAATTTAACAACATATATAAATACAAATATTTTCAAGGTCTTATAACAATAAAAAACGATTCATTTGAAATGAATTATTTTTAACAATAATTTTCTTAATATATATTTTAAAATTCGTATCATAAAATTAACAAAATAAAATTTAAAAATTATTTAAAAAATTATTAATGTTAAAATACACTCTGTATAAATTTAAGCAATTCAATAAATATGTTAAATAAAATATAGTTTTAAATGAGTAATACAAATATATAATTTGATAATAGTTATAAATTTGCTTGTTAGTGAAATACTAAAATCTGGTAAATTGCATGAATAACGTTTAACGTGATAACGTGTCTAACGAAACTGTACTAACAAAAAGAAAATATTTCGATATGATTATACTTCGTTTTATACCGCTTTTAATGCTTTTCCATGTTATTCGTAGTCTTATCATAGAATACTTGCGTGACGAAAATAATTTGCAAATTGTGTATGATGATCTAATGCAATTTGATTTTGGAATTTCAAATACAGACCACCTTAAAAGAATTGCAGCATCTCCGAAAAAATTAGATAAATTAAATCGAAAAGATTTACTAAATCAAGCAATACAAGCTAGAGTGAAAGATTTAGAATGTGGAATTAAAATCATGGCTTTGTCTGTAATGTCAGTGACTAATATACCAATGAATTATATTAAATCTTTATTAGAAAAAAAATATATTGGTATACCATTGATGATGATGTACAATGTACCAATGTTTTGCCAAACTGCTCACAAAATGTTAAGAATACTATATAACTTGGGATTGAAAAATATTTTGGATATTTGGATGTTTGCAATGTTAAACTGTGAAGCCCCGTACAGTAATAATGGTGAAGTCCTATCAAATTTAGTAAAAGCAAGTGAATTAATATATCAAGAACTTAAAGATTCTACTAAGAAATGTAATGTAGAAAGCACTCATGACATCACTAATCCTCGACATATGTTGCATATTGAATACATAACATTAATTTCATCTTCACAAATTAATTTAATGGTGGTCTATGAGTTTGAAAAAAAAGTTTTCAATGAAGTTAAAGGTGCTTTGTCTATGCACGATGAGTCCAATATTATCTTAAAAAATCTTGATAAAATTTATCCAAATAATTTATACTTACGTCATTATCATTATATATATTTTAATGATGCTACAGGTTATTTACAAAAATATTACGGAAGCGGAATAGAATGGGGAAATGCTATTAATATAATCAAAAAATCAAGAGAAGAAGCTGTAGGAATTGAAAAATTATTAAATAGATTTGAAAGTATAAAATTATTGCATACACAATTTTTAGCGCAAATGAATATTATATTCTCTCGACTGATGGCGACTTATATTTTAGTTATTTGTGACAAAATAGCTAATAAAATAAACGAATTTATGTCTGAAGAAGATATGAAATATTTTGTATTAGATGCAAACTATAAAATAAAACAAAAAATTGATTTATTTACAACTCTAACTGGTTATTCTAGAAAGAAGTATTTTGTAACTTTAAAGGAATTTTTTTCTTCTGATGTGAATGTGTTTTATGAACAAAAAGACTTTCATATAATTATAATAAAAAAAAAGCTTAAGGACTTATGTCAAATGTTTGGAAAAAAATGTAATGCAACTAAAAAATTGGAAACCATTTCTTTTGATTTTGATGATCTCAATAAATCGTACCAAAATATTGTTAAAACTGTATTAGTACAAAAACCTAATCTTGTCGGAAATGACGACGAATTTATTACTATAAATAATGATAATACTTATCGTGTGTATAAAATTATTTATACTTTTGTTAAACACTTAGGTTTCATTTTAGAAAATTTTGATTGCCATTTAATAAATGAAATACATTAGCCTGTTTCATACTTATTTTTGTTTGATATAAATATATTTATTTTTATTTAATGTTATTTATTTGAATCTCATTTAATATAACTTACTCAAGTTTAAGTGTTGAAATTCTCTTTATATAAAATGACGTTAGAATTATACGTGTGAAATAATTAAAAATTTATATTTACTCAATTATATTACTTGATTGTGATTAATAATTATAAGACGAATACATAATTTATAATAAAATTTAAAATTATTGTACTATAGAAGTAATGAAAACCTGTATTTAATGATTTTTGATTGTTACTTGTTAGAAAAAAAAATAACAAATACATCTGTTACAAAATTTAATATTTTATCTTGAGTAGTTCCACCAAAACTGTGGGGTTTACTTTAAAACCATTTAATATTACATATTAAGTGTTGAGATATCAACATTCAAAGCCGATGTTATAAATAATAAAAATATTTGTGATGTAAAATCTATACTACAATTGTGATACGTACACGCAGTTTTAATAAAAATGTCATTAATATCATTAATAAAGGTATATTATTAAAATCATATTAAAACAGGAAAAGTTAAAAATTAAATACATTTTTTTTTAATTCATTTTTTGTAAAATATTCCTGATGGTGGTGTAGTGTATATAGAAGATGTTTTTTTTTGTTTGATTGCTGAATTTTTATTTTATTTTTATGTGATTTTAAGATAATTTTTTTTCTTTTACTCTTTTTAAAAATACATCTGTCGAGATAAAAGTGTTTATATATATTTATTATAAATGTTTATAATAAAAAAGATTTTTTTTTTGTAATTGTGAGGCATTTGATGTTAATTATTAAAAGGTATACTTATTATTGATGAACTAAAAATTGGACGGTTTAAATTTTTTATTTGTTTTAAGATGATTTTTTTGAAGATAAAAATAAAAAAATAAAAATAATTTTAATTTAGTACTTATGGTACAATTTATTAAAATGTTAAAACTTTATAAAAATTATAACTTTTATTAAATTAAAACAAACAAGACAAACATATTTTATGATAATAACATTAACTTAATATAAATATAAAAAACAATGAGAATTATAATTTATTATAAACACAAGTTAAAATTAAATAAAAAAAAATTAAAATTAAGTTTACCATCTATCTAATAATAGGTTTTTGATTTACACACAAAAATTTATGTTTCCATTTTTTCAACCCCATTTTTTTCCTTTTTGTCGGAAACTTTTACACTTGGTTGGTTAGTTTGAACTACTGGAATTGAACGCTCATCTTTTTTATTTTCAATAGCCTGAAAACAAATAAAAAATGTTATTAATACCACTGAATTCAATATTTAGTGGCAACAAAAAAAAACAGTATAAAAGATTAAAAGTATAACATTTAATAATGTAGAAGTAAATTTGTGTATAAAAAGCCGAGTTAAATATCTTACTTTTTTTGGTGCACCAACACTTAAAACGCCATCTGATGATAATTTCGACGTAACCATATTTGGATCAACATTTTCTGGTAATTTATAGCGCCGAGTAAACTGACGAGAAATGTAGCCGTGTTCATCACTACGTTCTTCATGTTTTCCTTCAACTACCACAAAACCATTGGCTACTTTAACATTTACTTCCTCTGGCTTAAACTGTTGAACATCCAAGTTCACTTTGAAGCTGTTCTTGTCATTTTGAATATGAGATAGACCGCTTTGTGGTGCAGCTACTAGACGCCATGGTCTTGGGTATCTTCTTGTCAGTGACGGAATTGTGTGATACAGAGTATTGTAAGGTATCAAGGTGTTATCATCAAAAATTCCTGTACTATAATGCTGATCATACATATTTGGTCGTGAAAATTCTTCCAACAAATATGGTAATAGGGACATCTAAAATAATGAGGAGATTATATCATTTCTATCTAAGAATTCAATATAAAAAAAATAATTACATACATGTTAGAGATGAAAAGAAACAAAAACTTAATAAACTAAAGAGTAATCAATTTTTTAAAAATACGAATAATCAAATATCATTATTACCTAAAATTTCTTTAAAAGAATAAACTTTAAAAGGAACTCAAGTAATACTGCTAAGATTAGTATATAATTTTCAAAAATTCACACTTAATAATAAAACAATATTTAAATTAATACCTCTTAGTAAAAATCTCCAATACAAAATAAAATACTTATGTTAGTTAGATTTATGTAAAACATTAAACATTAAACCTACATATATTTACATCAATTTGTATATCAATAACATAAAAAAAATAATAATAACCACATTACTTTTCAATACTACCTAATGTAAAATTAAATATACTTAACAAGAATTTTTTTTTCAAAAATTATAATCCATAATTTTTTATAGAAAAGGAAAAATTATGAAACTATCTATTCAAAACTAATTATTTGGTTTTTAATTTTAAAGAATCCATAACTTACCTTCAAATTAAATATAGAATATGAAGTAAATTTTAATAATGAATTTTGATTAGTTGATCAAACTTTCAAGTATGTAAAGCACTAGATTCGAACGCAGGTAGAAATTACAATGTAGATGGTGTTACGAATAGCCGCCCTTATATCTTCATAGGAATATTCGAGAACTCAGTGGTTCTCAAAAACTGGATAAATAATGAAGTTTCTAGAATATTTCATTAAATCCATTTTTTTTTTAATCGGTGTTTTCAATAGATATATAAATAAAATAAATATTTGTTCAAAACAACTAATAATTTTAATTAAAAATTTTTCATTAGTTAATAGAAGAACTAATATTTGAACTTTTTTATTAGTCATTAAAACGACTTAAAAATCTTTTACCTGTATGTTCTTAAGAACAATCATCAATCATACTTAATCTTTTATATTTAATAAAAATATGTAACACTATTTTCTTAAGATTATTAGTAATTAAAGTTAATAATATGTTTCAATAAAAAACATATTATAAAATATAATTATGTAGCCAGCAACTCTAAAAAATAGAAAATATATTATTATATAATAATAAAATTATTTTATATTTAAAAATTAAATTTACTCGAGTGGATAAATCTAATATATTCACTTATAATAATTTCCTTATTTGTATGGGTATTTATATTTTCATATAATTATTACTTAGCATGATATTAATATATTAAAAAATATCAAGTAAAATTGAAGGTTAGTTAAAACTCCATGTAATATTTTTTATATTAATATCTTGAAAGTAAAAAAGATGATTTAAATAATTTTGTACTTCTGCTATGCTTTATGGGTTTTTTGTATGGAATTTAAAGTCAATTGTCAATTTAGTTTAGTTAATTTAGTCCTTGTTAAGTTTTTTCCCGTCATTAGAAAAAAATGAGTTTAATTAACTTTATATGGCATTAATTTTATCAATATTATCAACTGGTTTTTTCTATACTTTAACTTATTATACGTTGTTATTGAGTACTAAAATATCTTATGTATACAATAAACCAAAGTACAACACCAACTTAATCTAAATTTCTTGGTATAACAAATATACCGACAAATTTATTTATCTTAAATTATAATTTAAGAAAGTATTAACAATTATTAATAAAGTGACGACTAGATTATTAAACATTTTTATGTTTTAAACTTAATTAAAATATTTTTTTTAACGAATACCTAAGTCATCTATATTTAATTCCGTGATATGTACTTACAACACAAATGATAAAATGAATCAGGGATTTCAAGTTTGATAAATAAACTAAACATTAAATAGCTTATAATGAGGTTATGCACGATTATTATTTACTTTAAACGTCATAATACTTATTAAATTTTAAATTAATATAATACTATTTTAAAATAATATTTTTAGAGAATTTTATTTAAAAGATTCGTTATTTTCATAATTGAAAAATTTGCAGTAAAAATAAAGTACCATAATTTTTTGAGGAATTAAAGATTAACATTGATACGGTAATAAAAGGTTAATGATAAAATAAATTGTAACGCCGTTATAATTTGACTGTGGAGTCAATTTATTTTATTTTAAACTATAATATTTCCTCAATTATGTCCAGATTAGTAATTCTTCGATTCAAAAATATAATATTTAAGTTAAATATGTTAAAAGTAATCAATTTTAACCTACTTTTCTTTGTGAAAGTTTATAATAATAAAAAAAATTAATTTATCACCATAACTTTTAGTTCAACTTGCAAGTTTGAAATTCACAATATTAAATAGAAAAAAATAGTATTGTTCAAATAAATATGCAGTCAGAAAATTTTATAATTAGTATTTACAGTAAATTTATAAGAAAAGCTAGATTTTTTTTGCATTTTTATCGCAATAAATCACTTAAATAGATATCATAGTAATCATTTCTAATTAACTTATGGTGTTTAAAAAGATTCTACAATTTAAATATGCAGAACTCAATTAATTTTAATGATTCACTTTAACTAAAAAACCAATAAAAAAAAAGTCGTCAAAAAGATCTACTCATTTGAGCGTATGATAAATGTTGATTATAATTGTAAAAATCAATTGTTAAATTCAGGTGAATCTAAAAATATTTTTTTTTTAGATTTCTGATTTATATAACATGTTTCAAAAAAATTTGGAATTTTATAGACTCGTAGTAGCACGCAAAAATAGAGTTAAAACATTAACAATTTTCAAAGTAAAATTATTGACTTTTGTAATATTAAATCTAATACGATAATAAATACTTTAAAAATATTAGAAATTAATGATTTTAAATGTTAGTATGGGATAAAGCTGTTTAAACTATTTTTTATTTGATTAAAGGATTGTTTTTTAATTTCTGAGGGTAATATCTTCAACTAAATACGAATTGTAATCATTTGACATATTGTTGAAAAAAGGAGGTCAAGTGAGGGTTGAGAAAATAAATCGCAGCCACAAAAAAAAAAACACATAGTAAAATAATATTAATATGAATAAGAAATATCTTCTAGATTTTTCTAGGTAAAATACAAGTGTTACCAATTCAAAACTGTCCATCGCTTTCGTCGATCTATTAGCTTCGATGCGAAGCTGAGAAGGTATTAATTTTACCATGATGTGTTTATTTTTTTTTTTATTTTTAGATTTTTTTTTTGTATATATACCTTTTTATTTTCTTTCAACTAATTTAAAATTATCTTTTTTTTTTTTTTTATGCAATAAATTCTCTAGGTCTCTTTATTCTTCTAAGTCTCTATTTTTTGTGAAATGCAATTTTTTTTTTAATTTTTTGTAACTTATCTCTTTCTCTTCTTTCTTTTTTTTTTATACTCTAATTAGTTCTTTATTTTTTTTTACTCTTTCTCTTATTAGGTTTTACTATTCAAAAAAATGTTTTATTAATTCTTTATTATCTTGTCACTTTTTTCATTCTTACCCCTTTTTTTTTTTTATATAAACTCTTTAATAATTTATTTTTTACCTTATTATTATTTTTTTATTCGCTTTATTAATTCTTTGTTTTATTTTCTCTAATTTTTTCTTTCTCTTTCTTCTTTTTTTATATGCTGTTTCGATCTATTCTGCTTTCATACGTCTCTATGCACTAAAAATTTTGTTCTCACTTGCCTGTATTTTGTGAAAGTGTAATGTGTTACTATTGTTAGATATTTTACGGAATTGTGAAATAGTTAAGAAGACCCTTAGTTTTAAAAAAAAAACTAAGCTTATAGTTGGGCGCCACTTTGTTGTAAAACAAAANTAAGAAGACCCTTAGTTTTAAAAAAAACTAAGCTTATAGTTGGGCGCCACTTTGTTGTAAAACAAAAATAAGAAAATGGTGGTATGATAAATGATGGAAGGGAATGTTATAGGAGTATCGCAAAAATAAGAACTATCCCTTTTCTCGAGGTGTGTTGTTCGAGGGTCACTTGCTATTTTAAATACATGCACAATAAATTAGGATGTTCTTACCTTAATCATATAATCCTTATTGATACAATAATTCACTCGTGGAACAATAAAGAAAGTATGAATTATAATAACCAATTTGTATAAAAAAAGTATCTTCGATTATTTTATTATTAAAAACACATAATACAATAATATTAAAGGAAAAACAAACAAAACTAAAAAAATACAAAATTGGTTTAAAAGGCGAAAGAGAGCTGGACGACGTGATCGTAAATCGGTTGGATCGGAACAGTACGAGGAGTATATGCCAAGGGATGTTCTTAATGTATTCCCCGGATCCCCTTCCACAGATGTGTATGATTATCGTCCAGCTCTTATTGGGTTTTACATTTTTATGATACGTTATGTTCAGGGTTTTTGTAAGTGTTTTGAAGGAGCGGATGTTTGTGGCGTGATCGTGAGAGTAGTGTTTTAGAGGATAGACCGTGTTTATTGTGTTTTATATGTTATGTGAAAAGATATTGTGTTGATTGTATTTTGTAATTTATTGGTGTGTGGGTAGAAGATGAAAGAATAACAGATAAACATTTTGTTCGGTTGTGTGAAGGGCCTATTACAACANTATTTAAACCTTTTAAGTAGAATTTTTTTACAAATATAAATGAATGCAAGATTTTGCAAGAGTATTGTGACAAGACTCACAACAAGAACAAGATTTTATGGGCAAGACCAAGAACAAGAACAAGACTAAATAAGCAAGACAAAGAACAAGAACAAGACTAGATTTGCAAGACCAAAACCAAGACCAAGACTGAGTTAGCAAAGCAAGACCAAGAACAAGAACAAGACTAGATTTGCAAGACCAAAACCAAGACCAAGACTGAGTTAGTAAAGCAAGACCAAGACCAAGACTGAGCTATCAAGAACAAGACTATGACCAAGACTTTGACAGTCTTGGTCTTGTTCTTGTTTTGCTCATCACTATACGTATGTTTCAAGTTTTAAATCCCTCTGTATAAAGGAAAAAGGTCCAATTTAAATAAAATGTATATCAAATGAAAGAAGTAAACATAAAATATTTATGAAAAAATAATTGTATTGATCCATACATTTTTCAAATAGTTATAGTAATTAAAAGTTGAAAAAATAAAATATGAAATCGTAAATTTTAACACCAAAATTATATGTATTTTATCTACGACAACCATTTTCACATAAAAGATTTTCCGTCGGAACAAATTTTTTTTTTGATCTTATAGTATTTATTGTAAGCTTTAATTTGACATTGAAATTTTACCACCGAATGAGATTTCTTACATCCCTTGACCTCAGATTTTTGAGCTTCGGTTCCCTTTGACTTTTCCAAGTCATCGATTCCCTCACCTCGTTCCTTTGGTAGGTTATTCTGCCCCTCCATGATGGACCGGCTCCTCTACAGCTTGCGCCTGTGACTGCCGCTCAGTTTCTCAGGTCTAAGTTTTAGACCCTCGATTTTGTCAACTACTGCTCCCAGTTGATCTTGCAACTCCTGGTCTGCATTTATTGACGTTGCTATCTCTTTGCTAGTAGACGGTTCGCCAAATTTCCTGTTGAACTTTTGAAACTTAACTTTTAAATTTATGTTAAAATAAAGCTTATTATATGTACTTGAAGTACAAAAAAAAAAAATTTGTACCGACGACCTATTTTCATTTGCAAATGGCGGTCAAAGTAGAACGAAAAATAAGAAAATACTTGTTCCAA